GAGAGGAGAATAGAGGAGAAGGGATTGCGGCATGGCCATCCCCCCTGGGGGTGGTGGTGGTGATTTCTCGCTTTCTGTCTCTCTGTCTCTCTCTGTCTTTCTGGTGCTTGCACATGCCCTATAGCAAAAACCTCTCTAAAAAAAAATGGTGATGCTAATGAAACCTACCTCATAGGGCTGGGATATGAATAAAGTGATACTATTTATGTAAAGAGCTGAACCTTGTTCCTGGCCCATGATAAATGCTGCTTATAATAATGATGTTGTCTTGATGTTTATTTTTCAGGACTCGTGTGTGAGGAAGATGCTTGGGAAATAGCTGCCGCCACTTCTGTCCATAACCAATCTCAGCTTGGTGAGAAAGGACTCTGTGTAATTAGCTCTGCTGGAGGGTGATGCCCATCTCCTTTACCCAGTGCCCCAGGCCCTACCTGCTTAGAGAGAGGCTCACAACTCAATTCCACATTGGTCAGTCATATACTTCATTACATTCCCTCCCAAAATATCTTTGAAGCCTTCAAGGAAGAAAAAGGCAAAAGGTGGGACCAACAGATGGTATAATGGTTACATTGTTGGACTCTCACATAATTGACCATGGTTTGAGTTCTGGACTTGGTGGCTTAAAACTCAGGCCAGGCAGATGTGCATGAGCACCCAAAATCCTGAGAGGAGGATGGAGGAAAAGGGATTGCAGCATGGCCATCCTCCCTGGGGGGCAATTTCTCGTTTTCTGTCTCTCTATCTCTGTCTCTCCTATGAGCGCACACATCCTATGGCAAAAATCGCTCTAAAAAAAAGAAAAAAGGCAAAGGGAAAAGGGAAAAGATGCACAACCTCACTAAGTAACACATAAATGCAAAGTAAAACCGAAATGAAGTGCCATTTTACACCCAACCATCTGACAGTGCCAAGGGTTGGCAAGAATACAAAATGAGGAAACTCATACACTGCTAGGAATGTAAATTGGCACAACATTTTTGTAAACAGTTTGGCAATAGCTAGTAAAATTGAAAATGAATATGTCCTATGATTCATGACTCCATTCCTAGGTTCGCACCTACAAAGACTCTCCCACATATGCACAAGGAATCATGTACGAGAATGTTCATACCAACACTGTTTTGTAATAGCAAAAAAATGGGTAAAAACTTGTATATTTAACAACAAGTAAATTATGGTATATTTCTAAAGTGGAATATTTTAAAGCAGTGAAAATGAATGGATCTACATAGAGTAACATGGATAAATCTTATTTATTTGAACCTTATTTTCATGAGCTGCAAAAAAAAAAGACTTTTTTTTCTATTTCTTAGGTAGTCTGTAACAACTGAGAGGTGAGCATGGAATCTCTTACATATATTCAGTTCAGAGAATGAGAGCCTAAAACATGTCCAGAGTTTCACTATAATATCAATGCTCTCTCTAGGGAGAAGTATATAAAATAAAACACTTAAATTCCCCATTTCCCAGAGGGAATCTCTATTGACAATGCATTTAAAAAAAAAAAAAGAATTACTTCGTTTGACCTTATTTATTTATTTACTTATATATATATATATTTTTTTTAATTCAACCAGAGAAGGACAGAGAGAGAGAGAAGGACTCAAACCATGGTTGGTCGTATGGGAGTGTTCAGCGCCTTTACCACCACACCAGCTGCAGGTCCCAACAATGCATTTTTACTATACATGAGGTCTTTGAAAAGTTCACAGATGGTCCTGACAGTGGTGCAGCACTAAAACACAACACTCTGTGATACTGTCACACATGGAAGGGTTCCAGTTTCATGTCCTGCGATATCCCTGAGTATTCCCAGGAAGTGCATCTCCATGATCTGGAGCTAGCTGGATCTGGGGATGGATCCGGACCCTGTTGGGGGATGCTGTTTTTCTGTCTCTCTGTGTCTATCTTTCTTGCTCATGAAATAAATAAATAAATAAATAAATAAAGTTTAAAAACGTCTTTTAAAAAAGAGTTTGGGGGGAGGTGGGCAGCAGGTGGCATAATGGTTAAGATGCTGACTCCCATATGGCTAACTACTATTGGAGTTCCGGACCTGGAGGCTTGAAACTCATGCTGGGTGCATGTGTATGCATGCCCAAAATCCAAGGAGAGAATGGAGGAGAAGGGATTGTGGCATGGCCATCCCCCTGGGGGGTGATTTCTTGTTTTCTCTCTGTCTCTCTGGAGAGCACATGTGGCCTATAGCAAAAATCTCTCTCTAAAATAAATAAATAAATAAACAAACAAATAAATAAAACAGGGCTAGCAGGTAGCATGGTAGTTAAGGAGGCTGGACTCCCACATGGCTGACCACAGTTCGAGTCCTGGACCTGGCAGCTTGCTTTCTCACTTTCCTTTTCTTCTCTGTCTCTCACTGGTTGATTTCAAATGAAATAAAATAAATAATGACAATGAATAAAATTAAATAAAAAATAATTCTTAAAAAAAGAGTTCATGGAAGTTTATGGGAAATGCATGTTATGAAGAAACTATACATGAATTTCTTTATTTTTTTTAGAGAGGTTTTTGCTATAGGGCAAACGTGCTCATCAGAAAGACAGAAAGCAAGAAACCGCCCTCCAGGGGGATGGCCATACCACAATCCCTTCTCCTTCAGTTTTCTCTCAGGATTTTGGGCACACACACACCTGGCGTGAGTTTTAAGCTGCTGGGTCCAGGACTTGAACCAAAGATGACTACATGGGAGTCCAATACACAACCATTAAACCATCTGCTGGCCCTATTACTACTACACATGAATTTTTAGTTTTGCTATAGGGCACGTGCAGTTTCCAGTGAGAGAGAGAAAGTGAGAAATCACCCTCCACAGGGGATGACCACGCTGCATTCCCTTCTCCATTCTCCTCTTAGTATTCTGGGCATATGCCAGGTATGTTTTTCAAGCTCCTAGGTCTAGGACTGGTATGTTTTTCAAGCTGCCAGGTCTGGGACACAAACCATGCTGTCAGCCATGTGAGATTCAGCCACTTTAATCACCATGTGGCCAATTGGTCCCGAATTCAAAATTGTTTGCACCAAAGTAAACCAATACTTTAATTCCATGTTCCAGAGACTTTTTGAAGTCTCCTCATATATATATACAAATCCACAGAGACACACATAAAGTTGGGGTTTTTTGAGAGAGAGATTTTTGCAATAGGGCATGTGCATTTGCTGGAGAGACACAGAGAAACAGAGAGACAGAAAATGAGAAATCACTCCCATGGGGATGGCCATGCCCAATCTCTTCTCCTTCATGCTTCTTTTGGGATTTGGGGCACACACTCACATGTGCCTGGCATGAGTTTCGAGCTGCTGGGTCCAGGACTCGAACTGTAGTCAGCCATGTGGGAGTCCAGCACCTTAACCATTATACTACCAGCTGGCCCCAAGTCTTTTTTTAAATATAAGAATGGATTTATGTATTACTTGAGCAGAAATAATTTTGTATGTGTGATGGAGAATACATGTACATGCATTCAAGAGAGGGAGAGAAGGAAAGAAAAAAGCACCCTCGGGATCTGCAGCTGGTGTGGTGGTTAAAGGCACTGGACTCCCACGTGACCAATGGCAGTTCAAGTCCCAGATCTGGCACCTTGCTTTCTCACTTTCCCTCTCTAGCTCTGTCCCCCTCTGCTCACATATAAATAAATAAGGAAAGAAAGAAAAAGAAAGAAAGAAAGAAAGAAAGAAAGAAAGAAAGAAAGAAAGAAAGAAAGAAAGAAAGAAAGAAAGTTAAATAAAATAATTCTTAAAAAAACAACCAAACAAACAAACAAAAACCCTTGATGAGGTGCTAGGACACTTGAATTGCCTTTCCCCAGGCCTTTAGCTCCTCAGGATCGAGAACCAGCACATGTGCCCAGTGTGTTGTCAGGTTGACCCAGGGATCCAAACCTGCAGTGGGTCACATGGCTGCCAGCATTGCAGGATGCTGTGTTACCGCTACACCACAGCAGCTGAGGCCAGAGATAAAGTTTATAAATGATGAAAAACCCATCCAAAATATCCAAATCTCATTGCAAAAACATACACCCAGGAAACACACATACAATTAATGAATATTTCACAAAACAATGCTTGCCTTTACCAAGCGTGATGTACTGACTTTTTTTTTATTATGTTCTATTTCACTTTAAAAAAAAAAGACTGGGCTGGCAGATGGTGTGTTTATTATGTTCTATTTCACTTTTAAAAAAAAGACTGGGTTGGCAGGTGGTGTGGTGGTTAAAAAAAAGACTGGGCTGGCAGATGGTGTGTTGGTTAAGGTACTAGACTTCCACATGGCCAACAGCAGTTCAAGTCCTGGACCTGGAGGCTGGCTTTCTCACTTTCCTTCTCTTTCTCTCTCTGTCTCTTTCTGTTCAAAATTTTAAAATAAATTAAATAAACAATTATTTTTAAAAAAAGGCCATGCTAATCATACCTGCTAAATTGTTTTAATTGTACATTAATAGATTGTGACTTCAGTTTGAAAAATATTCCTTTATGGAACCAAATCCTCAACTGAAATTTATATAGATGGTTCATATTTCTCTCTTATGGCAATGCTGCAGTGAGCTGCTTTATACTCATTTGTGACTTTCTGAGCTCAAGATTGCTGATGGTGTAATTGCCATTTACTTAGAATTCTGATAAAATGTAGCCATTATTCTGGAAAACTAAATTCTAATCCCAGCTCTGTCACCACCATCATCTGTAAACGTTGGGCAAGTCCCTGCACCTCTCTGGGTCTCAGTTTCTCCATCAGTAATCTGCGACTCTACACCCTGGAGTCAGTTCTAAGTTGAAAGCAGATGCCCCACCCCCTGACTCAGCGTGGGCTGGTCTCACTAAGCCCTTCTCCCCCTTTTCCGCTCCCTGTTCCTCGTTCCTCTGAAGCAGCCCAGGAGAAGGGAAAAGGCAGGTCTGGGCAGGAGGGTGCGATACAGGGCGGGGCAGAGGGAGGGGAGGAGGGTGGCCAGCCCCCTAGTAGGAAATGAGACAGAGTTGGAATAACACTTTATAAGCCTGACACCCTTATCCTCCTCCCATTCCCTGGCCTCTTTCCATCCTCCTCTGCTCAGCCTCCACCCCTCCCTGACAATCTTTATTTCTCTTTTCCCTAGGCTGCAGCCAGCGGAACCCCCTCCTTGTCTGAGCCAGGAACTCAGGTGGGGTCAAGAGCCTCAGCTCCAGGATGTTGACAACATTGCTGCCGCTATTGCTTCTGCCTGGCTGGGCTCTTTGTAGCCAGAAAACCTCAGATGGTAAGTCTGGAAAACAGCTCCTGCCTCAGGAGACTGTCAGTCTATCTGGACTCATGGGCAAGACCAGAGGAGAGTTTATCCCACAGCATTTGGACATGCAACTGGCTAGATCTCTCTATAGGGCAGGCAAGGTCTTTGGGACTAGTTTGTGTCACCAAACCAAAGTGAAGAAGTATAGTTAAGCCCCTGGAAATGAGGAGATGAAGGATGTAGAGGGAAAACAGGACTAGGAAACTCGGGAGGGACTGGCAGATGGGGTGAGGGAATCAGCCCTGGGGATGGGGAGAAAGAATGGGGTGACGTCTAGAGAGAGAGTGCAAGAAAGGGAAAAGTCTAGCGAGGATGAGAAGAGGCTCAGAGATGAGAAGAGAGATGGAGGGATTAGATGCTGGGAGAAATGATGGAAGACTTGGGAACACCTAGGATTGAGATAGGTGAGGCAGAGGGGGAGAAGAGGGAAGAGGAAGACTAGTGCAGCTGGAGAGGTGGAATTGAGGGGAAAGAGAAGCTGTAGCCATCTGCACTCAGGGGCCATCGCACTGCCTCATGTGCCCTATTTAAGTGGAGAAGGGCAATAGTTGCCCTGCATCTTTTTTCTTTTCTTTTCTTTTCTTTTTTTTTGAGAGGTTTTTGCTACAGGGCGTGCGAATTCAACAGAGACAAAGAGAGACAGAAAGCGAAAAATCACCCCCCAGGGGGATGGCCATGCCGCAATCCCTTCTCCTCCATTCTCCTCTCGGGATCTTGGGCATGCACATACACGCGCCCGGCGTAAGTTTAAGCCACTGGGTCTGGGACTCAAACCGCGGTCAACTACATGGGAGTCCAGCGACATAGCCATTACGCTAACTGCTGGTCCCAATCGTTGCCCTGCATCTTAACCACACAGGGGCTCTCTCTCCTTTCTCCCACAATCCCTGAGTCTTCAGGCTTTCCCTCAGAGAAGGGGCACATAAGAACCAGTTTTCAAGGAGTGCTCACTATAGCTAATACATGTATTGCAACCACCACAAAATCCCACAAGGTGGGCATTACTATTATCTGTATTTTACAGAGAGGAAACTGGGTCAGACAGCAGTTAAGAATTATAGCTAGTGTTAGCCACACAGATACACCTGCAAACAGAGCACAGGTTCTCAAGTGCAAAAATGGACACAACACACACACTCATTCAGATGTTCTCTGCAACCAGTTCTGTGCTAGGCCCTTTTCTGGATATAGGAGGCAGAGATAACCAAACTTGGGTCCCTAATCTGGAGAAGTCTAATGTAGCCTGTGCACATTTGGGGATAGTTGCTTAGAATCCAACAAGATACACACGAACATCTAGTGGATTGCTGTCCCTGAAACAGACCCACTGTGTCCAAAAGAGTAAAGAGGAGAGGGGAATTGAGATGAATTTTGAAAAATAAATAGAAATTTACCAGACACAAAAAGGGAGACAAAACAAACCTGGTATGCTATTTATATGTCAAAGGCAGCATGGGGAACCCCATGCAGTTGACATGTCCAAGCTGGGGAAGAGTCCAGAAAAGCCAGTTGGGGTCAGGTCCCAGGAAGTCTTGAATGCCAGGCTAAAAACTCTGGACTTGGTCTGTGGACAGATAGCCTATGGGGAGGCAGTGTAGCTAAGTGGCTAAGAGGTCAGACTCCATTCAAACCTGGACTTTCCCATATGATTTTAGCCTCAATTTCCCATGCAGATTGTGAATAATAATAGTAGCTACTGCATCAAGCCATTGTGGGGAGGGCACAAATAAGATAATAATGTGTGTTAAAAACAGTGCCCAGGTCATAATAAGCACTTAATAGATATTAGCTATTATTAACTTTTATTGGGAGGGGGGAGTGTGTTGCTGGAGGACTTTTAAGAAGGAGGACAGGATCTAATTCCTGGTTCAAGATAGAGGTCAGACTAAGAAATGAGGGCAAAGGGATGAGGTAGGAAGTTACTATCCCAGTTTGTATGAGAGCAAATGAAGCTGAACTAAGGCGGTGGAAGAGAACTCAGAGGACAGAAGATGGAATTGGGACTTTATTGTAGGTCAGAATTTGTTGACCAACTGGAAATGGGAGGAAGAGAAGAGAGTCAGAGGCCACTGTGGGCCTCAGTTTCCTCATCTGTAAAACGAAGATAAATAATCTCTGTTCTGCCCTCCTTGCAGGGTTACTGTGAGCGTCAAATGGGAGGGAAGGTGGGAGAGTACTGTCCAGCGTGGAGAATGTGAGGGCTGGCTTGGGGGTAGCAGGTCATGATCTCTTGCTATCCGCCGCCCCCTCCCACGCTGGCCGGTTCCGATGCGCTAACTCTGCCTCTAGGGCCCCAGAGCCTCCACATGCTCCAGATCTCCTACTTCCGCGATTCGAATCAAGTGTGGTACCGGGGCAACGCGTCGCTGGGAGGGCATCTGACACACGTGCTGGAAGGCCAGAACAGCAACGTCACTTTTCTCCAGCTGGAGCCCTTGCAGGAACCGGAGAGCTGGGCGCTCACAGAGAGCCGCCTGCAGGCATACCTGCACGATTTCCGTAACTTTGTGCTGCTAGTGCACCGCGAGCGGCGCTTGGCTTGTGAGTGGGCGCGCGCCTGGGGCCGGGCCCCGGTGGGGCGGGGCCTGTGGGGGGCGGAGCCAGGCGGGCGAGAGGCGTGGTCTGAGGGGAGTGGGGCGGGGCCTCGCAGGAGGCCAGGCGGTGGGATCAGCCCTGTGGGCGTGGTCTTCGGGACGGACCCGCCCCCGAGGGGCCCCAGTAGGCCCTCGAAGATTGCTGGAGTCTCCCCGCTAAGGGGGCCCTCTTCCCATTGGGCCCGGTCCCTGCCGCTCCCTGACACCCCGACGTTCACTCAGAACTCCCCACTTTCCCGCCCCCTCCCCTCACAGAAGCTGACGACTTCATTCAGAGCTGCCCTCACAACCCCCACCTCCTTCCCCTCATAGCCCCGGTTTCTTCCCTCAGAGCCCCCCCACTCCCTCCGCTCATAACCCCTTTAGTACCCCTTTCTTCAGAATCACTGGCGCCTACTCACATAGCCTG